TGACCATGTGACGACGCTCGGAGCAGTCAGATCAGGATTCATGTGATTTTCTTAACGTCTCACTCCTCTGCACATGTTGTCTGTCATCACTCAGTGTGGGCACCTCACAGACTGGTTAAAAATAAAAATGGAAAGTGACAGTGCAGAAATTAGGAAGATTTGTGTTGAACCTTTATGGAGTAGCTTCTGTTCAAGCCAAACTGAAAGGAACTTATCATAACCAAGCAGTTTTTGAGGAAACTGCAGGATTTGATGGTTGCTTGGGGCTCACATTTCAGTTAAAGCTACAGTATGTAGCTTTTTACAAATATGCTCCAAAAATGTGGAGAGCTTCTGTCAAAACCTCCTGTGACCCAGACTCATTGAACAGCCCTGGCAGCAGTGCAGAGATATTAGTGTCTAAAAGGTTTTGAGCAGCCCTGACCTCTCTAACCAAACCGATTTCTAATTGCTTCTACTTGATCAGTAAGTTTTATTATGCTGAGTATTTGTACTTTAAATATCTTAAGTACAATGTACGGTTAATACTTATGTACCTCTGTTTATCATTTTAAGTGCAGAACCTTAGGTTGTAATGTGAGGTTAATAGGTTGTGTTACTACTGGATTAACTTAAGTAAAGAATGCGAGGAATTGTACAACCACTTTCTCACACCCACACCACTCATCTTCTTTGGAACACCTATTCCTGAGCTGTGAGACATTTCACTTATACATTAAGGGCCAAGTTATTCATCTTTAAGATATCAGCATATGTGTAATCAGATATAAATAAACAAACAGAGCAACTGCCTTGGCTAAAATAATCATATGCCATCTTAAAAACTGCTTTCTGTTTATCTTATCATGTAGCCTCCTTGTTTGTGTCTGTAGTCATAGCAGAGTAAGTTTATATTGTGAAATGTTAAAGTGAGCACTTCCTGCTTGCCCACTGGCACCCTCTTGAATGTTGAATTGCACCGAGTCTTGCAGAGGTCATGCTGTCCTCATAGATCACATTTCCAACCACAACAGGTTCACTGCGCTACATGTTGACTCACTGTGTGTGTGTGCTGTCAGTTATTTCTTATGGCATGCCGGGCCTGTCCCAAAGACCAACTACAAGCAGTGCTAAACTTCCTAAAGCAGACCACCCTCTGTGAGAGTTGTTAAAGGGGAGTCTTATAAACACTGACCAACCAGAAAGTGGCATGCTTTAAGGAAACATACTGCAGAATGAATTCTTGTTCCTAATGTAGTGATTCCTCATCATAGGCAGCTATACAGATTTACACAACACTCTACATGAAGCTCTACAGTACATTAATTATTCACTTATTCTCTCTTCAGTGTTTGATAGTAATCATGATCAGATCAGTGCCATATTCATTAATCACATGAGCTAATCCTTTAAGCAGAGAAGGAACCCAGTTAGTGCTGTGTGTCAGGGACCGCTGTGCTCCACAGATGTTTAAAATCTATATCTGAGTGTGGCACAGTAAAAGCATAAACATCTGGGCGTGTCACAAAGTAAAGAGTTTAATTACAGATGAACACAGCCCCTCCCTCCAGAGTAGATATGGTGTGCAAATATAGCCAACTACCATCTGCTGTGCACATATCTCTCCTGATTATAAACAAATGTTTTGATTACAAGGAAAAGGCCTACAATATTTTTCCTAACTGTTAGGTTTTTTCTCTGCATTTAAATTCATCTGAAGGCAGATTTAGTGACCATCATTCATCCTAGTGTGACAGGTTAAGTGTCACTTAGCTCCGTCTTACTATAAACTGTTCTGTGTGTTTAACTAGTTTCATTTTACAGCACAATTTAGCTTTGAAGTATAATTAAACATTATTATCAACATGGCCATCAGCACTGTAACTACAAAGATCAACCGAAAGTACAGGCAGGTGGACTTCAGTTACACAACAAATCCTTTTTCATCTGGTGCATGTTTTCAAAAGAAAAATATCTATTTGGAAACCCTCTTACCTTCCCCAGACTCTTATTCACACCGTCCATTTCTGCTCAAATGCTTCTCCATCCAGAAGTGTTGCTTCTGTCCAGGTACTGGAAAACATCTCTTGTGATTTCACATGTTGATGAAAGCCGATATAGGAAGCAAAATGCCCACTTTTCATCCTGTCTTATGAAGTTCAAAGAGTATTGCTGTTGGTGTGTATATCACTCTGCAGATTTCCTTTTATAGACTCATAGCAGCTACAAATAGCTTGCAGACAGCAGGCAGCTTCCCAGGCACCGGTAACAATGTTCACATTGGGAGCTATAAGCAAGACAGCTTTCTGCCTCTGGAAAAAAGAAATCTATCCTTACAGTAACTGTTCCATTTTAGCTCTTTGTTTGTAATGAAATCTTTCATTTCCATAAGTTGTGTATGTTGTATGAGTTTTCCTTATACAGCCGTAATAGGACAGACATCATGCAGAAAACATTAGACTTTGCTCAGATCATAAAAAAGAGAGCTGATTAAACAGTGGAACGAACTTCCTGAGAACATTAAGTGCAGCTGTGGAGACAAAACAGTCAAGCACGGTGTCTTGTTTGTCTTCACCTGTGGCAGTTTTGTCATTTTGATCACCATGAAAGCCTTTTTTTAACACAGGCCTGCTATGCAGAGCTCACATTGTGAAGCTGTTGGATGGACAGAGAACTAATACAGGCATCTCTGTCTGAATGTAACATGGCTGACAGCTAAACATAGCAGAGCGTTGTGCAGTACATGAGGGCCGCACTAGAAAACGCAGATTTCAAAAGATTTTTCTTTTTATCCAGTGTATACTATGTTTTTAATAGAGATACAAGAACTAAGCCTCTGCCAGCCAGTAGACTGATACAACAGAAATATCTCAGCATGTCTCTAATAATGAGTTGTCAGGCAACTTGAAACAAATTCATTTATTGCTTGTTTGCTGCTGCACTGATGTCTCTGTTTTCTTATCAGTGAGTGAAAGTGGACCTCTAGGGAGGATGCTAATCCTTTAAGTACACTACATTCTTCATTCAGTCCCAGCTGTTCTTGTCTTTTTCCACCCTGCTGACTCCCTCTCCCGTGTCAGTATGTAGCAGCAGCACACAGAATCATAGTATAAAAGCCCACAATTAGTTTTTGGTCCTGAGGAAACTCTCCGAAACTAAATTTATTTTGGTATCGCCTCATTAGTGAACACACTCAGAAATAACAACGCAATCCACTATTTAATGAATCTAGCCTTGGTTATACTTTGTTTGGTTTGAACTGGTAATGTGCAGTATTTACCATTATGTTATGAGATATTTTTCAGATATTAAAAGAAACAGAGCTAGTTATATACGGCAGCATCTTACTCTGATATGAATCTTGCTCACTGGATGTACTTTTCAACTAAGTATGCGCTCAGAAGATTATCCCCAGCAGACAGCCGTCACCATACAACACCAGTGATAAGACAGTTGTTGCCGTTTTTATGAGGCCAGGTGCAAACAGAGGGTGGACTGCAATCCAGGACAGCACTAGCAGCAACTACAACCTCAAATTATCTGTCAAACCAACACCTTTCTGGCACACTGTCCACAAATCAAACGTGTTTTTTTGCAGGGTTCCTCTACTTGCCTTGCAGCATTTTGCACAAATGTTCATGAAATTGTGTTTATCCTTTGCGCATAGCCAATATAAATTTCCATTATATTTCCTCTTGGAACAATACAGTTGTACTTTGAGAGAGTGACCAATCTTACATGAGAGTAATAATTTTTTTTATTTTTTTTATTTTTTTTTGCTGAAACACTTCTGCAGAGTGTATAATGTCACAAGTCTGAATTTAGCTTGTACAGCAGGTGTGTGAAGATGCGAAACAAACTTCTTGCAGTCTCAGGCATCTGCAGGGCTCAGGCAACCTGCTGTGCACTTTGCTCAGCACTGTGGATGGCACCTTATCTTGGTTTGAGGGCTTCACATTGTCATTACCAGCACATCGATTTGAAATAGCCAGCAACATTCATTGTTTAACTGCCTGCATATAACATTATGTCAAGTATTTCATTTGGACTTTAAATGCAGTCCGTTAATACTTTCTAGTTTTAGGTCAGTGTAAATGCACAGGTATTGATAGTCTGTTCTTGCAATTGACTTTAATATCACCAAATACTGTTAGTGGCAGTTGAATCTGAGCAACAAAACCCTTTTCAGTGACAGTAAAAATCACTTTCCAACAGCTTGTTTTACATTAATCTCCACTGTAAAAAAATAAAAAATAAAATAAGAGCTAAGTAATGACAGTCTGTGTCCTTCATATATGTACCCTGTGATCAAGGTGGGTAGAAAGCGCTGTCGGAAGAGTGGGCGTGTACACATCTTCCAGGAATGTCAAAGTCATGCAATGGCTGGCTGCTTCTGGGACTCTGTGTCGAGAGCTCCACATCTTCATCTGAGGTAGAGGGATGTGTGAAGATGATCCATGGCATCTGTCAGATGGATGCCAGATAAGGTAACAGGATTAGGAAGCAAAAGAAGTCTTAATTTGATATGATATATACATGCTGAAATGTCAGAAGAATCCTGTCATGTAATCCTCAACTGTTTGTTTTTGCATGATTTTTGAATTTGAGAAAGGCTAACATGAGAGGATTTTAGTGTAAGGTAATGTAGTGGGTAGAATAATCTGATGAGGCATGAAATATCTGCTTACTGTCACTGTAAACTTGCCAACTTGAAGTGAATCATTTTTTGGTGCATCCAGTTCAGAGAAGGTATTATTCAGGCCACTCTCCAAACCAGACTAAAATAAAAAGACAAAGAGAAAGAAGTGAAGAGTGACTGAAGGCACAATCAACAGATGGTTGGGACACATTCTAAAATGATGTATTCTGTTTGTGCTGGGATTAAAGTAAACTACCCACAATCCCATTGCTGTTGCAGACAAACGCCTCAGTGTTTGTGGTCAAACGGTTGTCTTTGCTTTCTGTTTTAGGTTGTTTGCTTCTGTGGGCTCTGCCATCCTGGCTGCATGGCTGATGTCCCGTTACTTCCTGAGGATCCTGAAGCTCATCCAGGACACATTCCTGAGGGCGCTGACCGCCTCGTGGTGGGTCGCCCTCTGCATGTTGAGGCCGTTGACCTGGATGGGCCATGGTCACATGATACTTTAAGGTGAAAGTAGGAGCAGGAGTCAGTGGTGTGAGGTTGAGTCATACACCCAAGCTCACACACCATGGTACTGCCAGGATTTCTAATCAGCTCTAACCTTTGATGGTGTGAAGCTAAAAAAATTGATTTTGATACATTCCTTTCCACTTTTTATTTTCAGCCTCAATTTGGTTTAATCACTGGAGGTCACAGCTGGTCTTATGATGCCCTCCGCTGTTCACAAGAGGAACACCAACTGGAGGTATGTCAGTTTTCTAAAGAAAAAAAAACACTGTACTATATAGAACATGTATGTGATTTCCATTCTGTCAACAATATATTAGAGGTTAGGTTGCATAGTTAACAGTCAGTGAAAAGAAATTATGAAAAGTAATGGCAAACTAGAGAATGATGATGCCCCTCCTACCTCCAGCAGTCTGTCTCCAACGTGGACTCCTGCCTTTTCTGATGCCCCCCCTTCTGTTACTCTGGAAATAAAAACGCCCTGAGGAGAAATAAACATATGAACCTACATGAAAGTAATAACAATGTGCTCAGAACCTTTCCTGTTGGTACATTTTGTTCAAGCTAAATGTGCGCTCCTAAGTGGAGCACACATTTAAAGTTAGCCATCAGGCACTCAAGGCTGAGCTGCGTCATCATCTTCACACATACAGGCAAACGAACAAACATGTTCTCTTCTGCACCAGCACTTGCCTCATCATGGTCTTTGTAAGGCTGAGAGCCCTTCCCACCAGCAATGCTGATACCCAGGCGGCCCCGCTGGCCAGGCACTTTGATCTGTAACTAAGAGGAAATGGTTTCATTACAGTGGAGCAAGACACTATAGAGCTAACAAACAAAAATATATGGGCAGTAATTTGCCACAATCAGTATGTTTTCTTGCAGTGGCTAATGCAAACCCCCAGACATAATTTGAAAGATAAAGCATGCAGTTACTATTAATAGCACTTGGGAGATGAATAATTCCTGAGGAGGGGACTTCTCTGTCAGCAGATGAGACTTCAGTAGCCCTGTGATGGAGGCGGTCTTTTTCTTGAGGACAGGGTCTCCATGGAGACTGGACAGCATATCAAGAGTTCTGTGATGCTGAAGTTTACTACCCTCCTGGGTTTCATTTCTCTGATGGCCAAACCGACACGGCAGAGCTTCGCTCCCTGACAGCGGACCTGCACCATCCTGGTGATGAGAAATGATTGGATGCTTTCACCTCCTGCGAGATACATCAGTGGACTCTAATTCACTCATAAGACATTAGCAAAATGAGAGAATGTAAAAAGATTCAACTTCAGTTAAACATATTTTCAGGGACTTAATGTACAGTGATGAATTTAGAATAAGTGGAAACTTGCAGGAGCACTAAACAGTGCTTCTCCCCATATCTATAAACAACAGAAATTTGATTAAAATGGAAAACAGACCTCCTCAGGTTCCTTAAATTCCCCCATGTCCTTCTCTGCACTGGAGCAGTGAGCACACACACTGCTACTGGCCGGCAACAGACGATGATCCTCTGGCTTACACTCTTCGCCTGCCGCCCAGTTGAGGGCTGGGATTACCCTGTTTTGGCTGCTGGTCCCGAGGGTGGCGTTAGTATGAGGATTTCGGCACTCCTAGAGATGGTCAGAAGACACCCCCTGTTGCTGAATATTTACATTCAAAATATCTCAAACGAATGACAGTGATGGATTGGTCTTAATGTGACCGTGTCCCTTATCATGAATAACAGTGTAATCTGGTCATCGGCAACATAGGATGTAAAGAATTATTATTATATTTTCCCAAAGATAATCCTGGGAGGAATTCTGTGCTTACTAGTAGAGTGGCTGATAATCACTGTTAGACACATAAAATCCTGTTTGACTCTTCAATAATGCATGCTTATTTTATGTACAGGCACCACAACAGTCATTAGTGCAGTGTAATTATAGTAATTTCTTACTGGAATAATTTGAAGGCCTGAAAAGCAGCTACAACAGAAGCTAGATCTTCAAGCCTTAATTTGTTAGTGTCTCTATCGCTGCCTTTTACCAAATGTTTGTCTTCTAGGGCATCTTGACTGGGAAACAAAGGTGACTGGGAAACAGAGTGATGGATGATGACATTCTTGAAATGCCTTCTCACTGAAGAAGCTTCCTCTTAAAGTTAAGGAAAAGTCGACCAAAGCGCCTCTACAGTTAACACAAACAGGTCGGTACTTGAAACTCTAAACTGAACACCAGCAAAAGCAATTTAACAAAAAATATAAAGGCCTTACGAGGACTATACAGTCAAGTGACAGATTAAAGGAAAAACCTGGATAAATGAGTGAAGTCTGGTGGCACGTGGTGGCCCAATACTTTACTAAGATACTTTAGGTTGGTTTTTCCTTTAATTTGTCACCCTGTCTATGTCTGTTTAGAAGTGTGTATCTGTCTATAGCACCAAAGATAGTATGCTCATCTTCAATGGCTAATTAAAATTACAACTATATGCCAAAATTATATGATTATTATGATGTGTTACTTCAATTTGTGTACATATATACACACCGAAAGCATGCCAGCATCAGTACCACGAACAGCACGTGCAGGGTAGACAAGTCAAACATGGCACATGCTGCCAGAAGATTACAGAAACATCATGCACTGCTGGACAGGCAAAACAGGCAATGGAGGAATCAGGAAACGTCTGAGGTTACTTGTCATTATATTACTTTTGCATATGGTCATTTTCATCTATATCAATAATAAGAAAGACCACACCAAATAAATTAAGTTTTAAAATTTGACATTTAAATATTAAGTTCAGTTCCACTAAGATAACATTTAGCCTGAAAGTCATTAAACCTAGCAGGGTGACTAGTAAATGTAAAGGAACAACAAACATGTTGTTTAGTGTTGCACTCAATTTATTAATCAGTGGTTATAAAGTCATTCAAATCTCAAGGACCGGGGGCTATTTGAGATTTGTTTTTGTGCAGTTTGATCAGGAAATAATTAAAAACATAAAACCAACACTTTGAACCAACTTCTCTGATTTAAAAACAAAACCATACAATTGAATATATACCATATAAAAGAATAGGATTTGAGAAACACTGAGAAGTGCACTAGAAGTGGAACTTCTAACAACTGCATTTTTGCGGTACGAACCTCATCCTCAGCAGATGATAATGATTATTCTGTACAGTACTCATTAAAAGGAAACAAATGTTTTTAAAAACAAAAGCTGTTTTTGGCATCTACTGGAAAAACATTACAAAGCAGTGAAGTACAGCACATATAAATAAGACAGCATTGTTAATTCTGCATAATTACATAGCAGATGAGTGAAGGTTGATTTTGCACTACTTAAATCCAAACTTTATTAAATCAGATCTATTTATTAGTCAAAAATAGGTCTGGATGTTTTATAGATGAACAAAAAGAAAAGATTTAAGGCCATCCTCTCACCCAGTGACAATTATATGTACTGAATAAGACATTAGTGACTGTGTTTAATTCGCTGCTTTAACAAGAAAGAAGAAAAACCTGCAACTGATTAACAATTTTGCTATACATTTTTATTTACATCTGAGCTGCCAAAAAGTATAAAAGTTTCAATATTCACAAGAGACTGTACAATAATCATTACTCAGTAGGTCCATAGACTCATGCTTTTATGTTTGCCCAAAATGTAAAAAGTATTCACCCAGTGTTTAAAAAAAATAGTTATAGAACAGATATATAATACATTTAAGGTTTGGCCACATCATAGACTTATAGTGCAACTACCTAATGTATAGTTTTAAAAGGAGATTTATTTTAAAAAGCAATAAATCTTTAAAACATCTTTTAAAAAGGAGCATCTCTGTGCAGATTATTGCTGTGGACATTAATTTAAAAAAGGAAGGCAGCCCTTGTAGACTGAAGTCAAACACATTTTACACAGGACTGGAGGTGGAGTAAGGTTACAGGCATCCCAGGATTTAATCAGAGGAGGGGCAGGCTACACCAGGGTTTGTAGTATTACCTACAAACTCCGGGGGAGGGGGGTTGTAGGTAAAAACAGGGGACTGCGGGGTTGTGCAGGACGACACAGAGACAGGAGGTAAAAGAAAAAAAAAAATCACTTTTGAGGTAAAGGTCACACGGACGTCGTGGTCGCTCTGTCTGCAGTGTTATTGACCTCGTTTTTGTTGGAGTCCAGGCCTTTAGCAGCGTTCAGGTCATTGCGCAGGTTCTCGGCTGCTTTCTTCATTGTTTTCAGCTCGCCGGGGTGAGGCGTGGCCCGTCGAAGTAGTGTACCCTGTAACAGAGTCATAACAGTGGAACATTTTTATATGTGCAGCAAAAGAAGAGTAGCTGTTGGTTCTAAGTGGTGAGCTTATACGAGTTAAACACTTTGACACTGGTGATCTCCTGACTTTTCATCCAGCAGCAGCAGCAATCTGTGCTTCAAAGTGAAATATCACAGCTACTGGATGGAACACTTGCTGCAGATACTCAGATCTCTCTGGCTGCAGAGTCAGTCTTGTTTCTCTATGGGTATTAAAGGTTAAGGACACACAGTATCACCTCATGCAATCATGATGCTCTTTTATTTAACAATAATGGAGCTCCATGGCACAGAGGACTAAGATGCATCAGACTTTGTATACGCAGACTCTTTTCATAGGATGTGCTGATGCTAAAAACTACAAAGTATCACCAGTCTTTGCTCTTCTTTTTATTTTGGATAACCATATGCTTTATTGTGCCCTTAGGCTTGCTGGACTCACCTTATCGTCATCCTCCTCCTCCTCCTCATCCAGGAAGTGAATGGCACTGATCCTGTGTGTGACTTTATTGTCCCACGTGTCGTCTGCCACGTCGTTCACCAGGCTCTCCAGGGCTCCACAGCGAGAAAGTTTATCATAGCCTGGAATTGTTTTTAAAAAGAAACAACAACTTGTATGGATGGAATTTGTGCGCACAGAAAACATGCACAGACTGAATTAGAGTGTGAGCTGAAGTGAATATTTCAGCAGATTAAAATCAATATGGTTGCTATAGTTGCTTTTCTGCAATCTGCCAACTTAAGAAATGAAAGCAGTCACATAACCCAGCACTCGTAAGTGAATGCCCAAAACTGCCAGATCGTAGTTTCAAATCCCAGCTTAGTCACAGGCTTACAGCAACACAATCTTCCCTGCCCCCAGCTTCAGCCTTACTTATCAGACCTCCACCAGTCTCACATCTGCATCTCTGCCACAAAGAGAGACGGCATGTCGCAAAAATTAATGACTGCATTTCTTTTTGAGGGAGAAAAACCAGCAAAATACAGCAACAGATTTAGGTGAAAGGCTGTGGATAAAAGCAAATAAATCCACATCTCTATATCCTTTATACCCAGTGGGCGAACTTTTAATGGCAGCACGCCAGCCGCCGCTAAGCCTCTTTAGCTGTCCAATCCACTGCATTACTGAACAACATAACCAAGGAGGGCCTCAAGGGACAGGAGAGGAGCTGATCTGTTACAAGCACTGTGATCCCTTACAGGACCTTATAATCAACAGATACCACAGGGAGGAACCAGAGGGCACAAGAACACTCTGTGCTTCTCCGAGCAGATCGTGTGATAATGTCATCACAACCACAGGGCACTAATTACTCAGAGAACTAATCAGGAATATTACTCTAATGTCAGTGTTGACAACAAGTGATTTCATGCTAGTAGAACTCTGACATTTCAAAAGCATGGACATTTTTCCTTGAACCATCCCACTCCTATTAGTTACCCACAAATAGTACACATGCAAAGAAACACTGTTCGGTATGAGGAAGATGTCTAGATGCCATTGCTGCTCCTGATAGCACCGATTTGGCTATTCATTATTATTTGTTTATTCTCATCTCCGGCCTCCACTTGATGAAAACATTACCTTTATTGTCTGGTTCAGATGGCTGTTGAGGCAGCAGCACACAGGTGAGCACCTTCTCGCCTGATTCCGGATCCTCATCCGTCTGAAAGCTGAGGAGAGGCTGTGACTGGTTTTCTGACAACCATAAGGCCTTCAGCCGTAGTGTGGTCAGTGAGAGTGGTAAGTGGGTGAGCCTGGAAACAAACAGGACATAAATCAGTAAATGACTCATATCACCAACCTACTCTGGTTGTTTTGACAGTGTGGACCACTTCCCAGACACAGGGGTGAACATGTTTGTGTGAGTGACTCAGGCAACAGATATTGCTGCAGATTTCTCTGAAGGCAAAGCAGGTACAGGCAGAGAAACAGAGCCAAAACAGTCTCTGACTAACAGTGAGTAGTATGGTCAAAATATCAGAATAATCTTTAGAGAGCAGAAAGTAGAAAAGGTATTTGTTTTTGTATTTTAGAATTGGATTAATATTTTATAAAAGGTTTTGCTTTTCATTTCTTATTTATCATTATTACTTCATCTTAAATATTACTAAGTCTTTAAATGTTTTACTTATAAGAAGGTGCACACTCCTCTCTCCACTTTGTTGGACATACCTATTTCCAGAGACATCGAGCACGTGCAGTTCTGTGGCTTGTGACAGCTCTGATGGTATCCTCATCAGTCTGTTCTCTCGCACACAGAAGACATTCAGACCGCTGCAGCCACCGATCTAGGGAGCAAAGGAGACAACATGTTTAGACTACAGTACTTGTCAGTCCCAATAAATGCTGCCCTGCAGCTCATAAAACATTATACATACAGTTACTTCCTAGTCTAGATACAAAGAAAAATGGCACATGTATAAATTCTACTTTTAACAATGCAGAGACAAAAGAAACCAGAGTAAATCTGTTGTCAGCAAGTGGGCACCTTTTCCCAGAATTGGTCATCTTCTGGGGAGACTAGTTAAATGTCAATGTGGAACAGTGACCTAAAGTTAGGGACAGTTATGCCTATTAGACTAAGCAGGATGAGCCAGCTGAACTGTTGCTGTAGTCTTGTTAATGTACTGTATCTTGAGCAAAGTACAGTTACATAGATTCATTATATTCAAAAGGAGCAGGTTAAGGTCAACATTTACATATATAAATGTGAGAGAGAATGGAGTCAACACTAAACAAAACAAAAGGAACAAACAATAGGTTTTCGTTTTAAAACGACTCATATTATTGCATCTGGTTCCATGTAAGGACGGACAAAATTCAGCCAGGGAAAAAGTGTTATGAGCTACTAATCAACATTCAATAGAATCCATAAAAACGAGCCAACGGTTAAGTAGCTCAGCAAAGTACAAATCAATCCTTAGGCCATGGTTAGTGTGACTGTCACGCACTGCTGGTTTGAGAAAACAGTGACACCATCAATTCATTATCAAGGTCAAGTGTGCTGAACTGTTATGTTTCTCCAAACACTGCAGTCTGTGCATCATTAAGACATAAGGGCATTGTATAACGTCAAAAGAAGCCTTTCACATTGAGCATTAAACCAGGCATGCCTTCACTTAAACAGACAAGAGGTTAGAAAAGAATGTCATATGCAAACAATGGAGCCACTCAGACAGCACTGAGCAAACCAGAGGACTGAGCAGTAACAGTGAAAACAGGCAGCACAAGTCAGAGCGTTGTGGAGCCAAATGTGAACGAACTTTAGATAACTTGACCAGAACGAGAAATAGAGAACACATTACACCAGTTTTAAAGTCCATACTGGAGTTTTCTGCCTCAGATTACATTTATTTTGCTCTTGTGTTATTTTTGTAAAACATTATCAACCATTCAGTACCTTTGTACTTGTTGAAGTGCCTCTACACTGATATGATGTTTTGATAGTGTTGTATGTATTTTGAATTAAAGTGTGCACTGAACTTTGATGGCTTTAAATCTATATGCCCCCCATTCATTTTCACTAATGCTATACCAGCCAACATGCTGGTGTAAATAAAAAAAATTGCCATGTGAAGATTGGAGCTCTATACTGATCTAATTGCCTGCAGAAATATTCCCATGTGTACTGATTTCAATGTTGTACTGCAGGTCAGACCTGCATTTTCAGTCTAATCTGCACCGTGTGTAACAGCAGCAGAAGTTAAAACAAGATCTGTACCATCTACAGGCAGAGTCAGAAGTAACTTCTGCAATTTTTGATGCCTGCCCCATCTGCAGGCAACAAGTATTACAGCCAGCTTTTATGGATTTGTGGTTTTTAGGTTTCACATGTTATGTATCTGAAACTGGAAAAATAGAAAAATGTAAATACTTGTCAACTAGAGCTCATTCACTGTTGGGTTTACATTTTTCTGAGTGTCCTTATGTCTCTTTTCTGGTTTCTTTGGTGTGGGAAGGTGGGGGTCCTTCAGGGTCACAATCTGGGATGACTAATTTCTGTGTTTGGTGGTAAAGGTGGGTGTTATAATACATATTTTCTGTACATAACTATTAGCAGAAGAGTTATTTCTACTTTATAAAACTGTTTGGTACATAAAAATGTTCATTTTACATTGTAGGTTATCAGTTGCCTCTCAACAAACTCCAGGTATTGAGTACAAAAAGCTTACCTCCTTGGGTAATGACATTAGCTGGTTTCTGTCACAGTTAAAGTTGGAAAGTCGCTTTAATTTCCCAATACTCCTGGGCAAACTCTTAACAAAAAAAATAATAATCAAAATGACAATTAGAAAGAACACTGAGTGCCTGCCGAGTTTTTCAATAAATAAAAAGCTTAATAATCACAAGAGCATAATAAGAGTCTTTCATTATCTCGATTCTTATTATCTTAGGTGTTTAGAACAACTTATTTAACAGTTTGTCCCACAAGACAATTTGTCCATAAAATGAGGACAACACAATCAAATTATCATTATACAAGAACCATCATGTTGACTATGTGCTATCTACGTAGAAACAGTTAATGAATTATGCAGATATATTAGTAATGATTTAAAGTTTAAACACACATCGGCTGTGCCTGTAGCTATTTTACAGTTGCCATCACATGTAGGTGTGAAGGTACTAATGCCACCGTGTTCTCATTTCGTTTTAAAGAAAACACAATAATACAGTTACAAACAAACCTGTAGCTTGTTCTCTGTGAGCACAAGTTCAGTAAGACTTTCACAGTTGCCGATGCTCTCTGGAAGAAAAGTTAGCTTATTCTGATCCACTTTCAAGATAGAAAGTTTCTGTAGTTTTCCTGTAGAGAAAGACCAATTAAAAGTTAAACATGAGAAACCTTGTACAGACAATTTGTATGTTAATGAGGCAGTGATATCGTGTTAAGTCCATTTTTATTTTTAGTTGGTTATTTTCCCTTAGGTACATGACGGATTGCAGCACATTGGCAAGCGTCATACTGTAAAATACATGCAGCTGCTAATTAGTTTGATTAACATGCTATAAAGTCACATTAAATGAATGGCACCAAATGGTCAATGCCGCCAGACTTACCAATGCTTTCTGGTAAAGCATCAATGACGTTCTGAGACACCAGCAGGTGAGTAAGTGACAGCAGGCCTCCCAACTCCTCTGGAAGCCGCTCCAGTTTATTTTCAGACACATCCAGACACAACAGGTTCTTCATACTGCCCATCTCCTGAGGTTCAGAACAGAGACTTTTGAGAAGCAAACACATAACTTAAAATAATATGGCACCAAATACAACCTAGCAAAGCAGAGCAGAATCCGTGCTGCCTATGCTTTTACCACATTCTATTTCAGGAAATAGGCCACAACAAGAGAAACATCACATGCCTTTAAAATAAAAAATCAAATTTAACGGAATCACTGCACTATACCTACAGTCAGATAACACATTAGTACAATGTTAAGGTTTTGGTCATATACTTAATGACTCCAACACGACTTCTGTATTATCCTGTAATGTTTTTTTGTTTTTGTTTTTTGCAGGGGTGTCCATCCAACCATCCATTTTCCTCCGCTTATCCGGGACCGGGTCGCGGGGGCAGCAGTCTAAGCAAAAATGCCCAGACTTCCCTCTCTCCAGACACTTCCTCCAGCTCCTCCGGGGGAATGCTGAGGCGTTCCCAGGCCAGCCGAGAGACATAGTCCCTCCAGCGTGTCCTGGGTCTTCCCCGGGGCCTCCTCCCGGTGGGACATGCCCGGAACACCTCCCTAGGAAGGCGCCCAGGAGGCATCCGAAA